GTCTTCTGGAGTCAAAGCTGAGACAGAGCAAAGGAGCTCTGAGAGGATGCTTGAGGCCAAGACTTTCACCTGAAAGCTGCCCTAACCTTCTGACTCATTGAGGGAACTCAAGCCCTCAAGGAAGGGACCTTCCTGGGGGTCTTCCAACCCATGAGATGACGTGCTGAGGCGAGCTTTTGTCCCAGCAATGGCAGTGCACAGGAGAGAGACCTTTGCTTGGAGCCGAAGGGCTGAGAGAGGTGAGAGGAGACCCCCCCTTGTGTGGAATGGAAAGAGATCCAGCTCCAACTTCAGCTCGGACTGCTGCATGGAAGAAGAGAGACTGCTGCCCTGAGGGTGGAAAGGATCTTTCCTTTTTCCCTTCTGGACTTTTCTTGGAGGGAGAAGAGATTTGATCCATTGTAAATCCTGGTTGATCACAGGAGAGAGAGTTAGGATTGTGTCTAGAATGTATTCGAATCTTTCTTTGTGTCCTAATTGTAATAGAATTCCCTTCCCCCCATCTTGAGTCTTGTGTTGTGTCTGGAAAAGCCCTCTTCCACTGGGGTGAGTTGTGGGAGGGGGCTTGGACTAACGAATTGGATGTTTAGGGGTCTCAAGCCACCCCAGGGGGCTATTCCGGAACAGAGAGGATAGGCCGGAATGGGTAGGATAACAAACTGACCCAAAGCACATGGCTTGGTCTGCACTGTGCTGCACTGTGGGGTTGTGGTTGTTCAAAAAACCTTTTCTCTGGGGCAGTTACAGTTTGCCCCACCGATAATACCGGACCAATCAAAGGTTCACATGTGCCCTACGGAAATTCCATACCCACAGCAACGGAAGAGAAGGGGGTGAAGTAGTTTAGAAGGTAGGTAGCCATGATTTGAGCCAGAAGGAAGCAGGGGGCCAGTGAGCCCCTCTGGGGGCCAAGGGCCCCCAGCCCCCAGTTGATGCTACGGGAGACCCAGTGTAGTGTCAAAGCTGGACCGGGTCCCATAATCAGGAGCTGGAAGAGTTTCCTTACTGTCAGCAGCAGCAGAAGACATTGAAAAGCGGCAGCGGAGCAGTCCTGAACAGAAACAGCAATGGCTGAAAGCCAAAAAGATAGCCAATAACAACAAGATAACATGAAGCTGGTTGAAGGACGCAGAGATGTTCCTGCAGGAGGGAGAGCTGGCAACAAAACAGAGGAAAACTCAACAGAGCTGGTTTGGGGTAAGACTGTATTACTTTCCAAAAACCCAGAGACTTCCTGAGGAGGGGTGGACTTCCAAACCCTTAGGGAGTCCCAAAATGCAGCAGCAGCTAGAGAGAAAGAAAGAAAGGAGCTGAAAAACCCAGAGTCGTCCTGAGAGCTGAGCCAGGACGGAATGTGGGGCAGGTGCCCGTGCCCTCTGCTGCTGCTGCTGCTGCTTCTATCATGCTGGCGAGCTGAGACAGAGCAAAAGAGCTTTGGTAAGACTGAACTGAAAGCTGCCTTCAATGTTCTAGCCCAAGAGGAGTGAAGATGTACAAGGAAATCCCCCGAAGGCTTGGGCTTGGGGTTGAAATTTCCATAAAGTAAGAACCAAAATCCTGACTGCCATACTTAAATCTGCTGCCTTGGAAAAAATGGAGGACACTAACCGGTGCCACAAGAAAACTGAA